GAATATATATTGTTTTATAAATGTATTGCACTTTCTCACTCATATCCGTTATTGATACAGTTCATAATTACTCGGAGTGTTATTACGTTGATTGTATAATGTATAAGACATTTGGTGCATATGCGCATTTTTAGTTGAATTTTTGTCATTTTGCAGACAAACGTGCCGATATAAGCATGTCGGACAAACCACCTGGTAGTTGGAAAGGTACGTGATAAACTATTAGGAGTACGTGGTAATTCTTCTTTGATATTCATCTCGCTTTAACTGGAGTGTTCTTTAATTCATGTAATTTATGTCAGTTACACGACGTTGTACGGGTTTGAGCGAATCCCAGCCAAGCCCTGCAGCACACATCATCAAACATGTGCACGAGCATAAACACTTGTATATTATTCATTTTTTATATGATGTGCTTATGCAATGTTCGGTTCATTATTTTATATTTGTATTCGATGTAGCAACAAGCATTTGCAAAGTATCTAGGACATATGAACATATTGAAGTACTCAAAGGTTGTTGCACTTTCTATTCTGGATTTTGTTGTTTCGACGTGGACCGAAGGGGTCGATGATATTGACGTCGGCGTTATGTCATTGCGTCACATGGAGACATTTAAAGGGTGCGGTACGAGAAACTAGAATCCTCACATTAAGAGCCGACAAAAGGTAAATAAAGCTTATGAGAAGACACTATTGTTATGTCGTAGCGTGGGCGTCAAACAATGAACTGAAAGGTGTAAACCCCGTCGAAGTAGACCTCGTGTTTTTTTGTTTATATCTACTAATTATATATTAGGCATATGCATCTATTTTGTACTGACACTGAATTCACAGTACATGTTGAACTCGTTTTAGTGGGTATTGCTATGTTGTTATGGAATTTTTGTGTTTTTCGTGCTTTGTTACAAATAGTTGATTGTCTATTATTATTATTATTATTATTATTATTATTATTATTATTATTATTATTATTATTATTATTATTATTATTATTATTCA